GTGCCTGGACATCTGTTAGCTCAATCATAAGTAGCCTGTAAGTCCTCAGCATATACTGCACCTTTAATTGACTCATTGCATCCAGCAGGAAGTCTGAATGACTGGCAGTCAGGTAAACAGTGGCCCAGCGACTCTTCTCAAAAGTGTCCGCTGTGTGTGTGTCTGTGTGTGTGCCAGTGTTTATACAGAGAGCTCTTCCGATGGTATTGATTGTCCCGGTTCCTTGCTGACAAACTGCTGTTAATCCAGAACACAGCGGGATGGGAAATTGGATGGACTCTGTCAGGTCTCTTTCAAGTGGCCTTGAAGAGCCATGCTTGTATAAACACACACACTTGCATACAAGTATAACACACACCCAGGAGTTGATGTTGGCACACAGCATGTGTCAGTTCTGCCCACTCGCTGTGACCCAATATGGTGTGTGACCAGCTGTCCATGGCTGGATTTCGCCAGTTTTTTTGATCTGCTGTGTGTATGTGTGCATCTGGGTTTGCTTTGAGTGTCTGACATGACTTCTACACATTTTTTTGACATCCCTGCTCTGAACTCATTGTGCTGCTGACAGTACAGTTCCCTTTTTGGGTGTCCATGCCAAGATAACACATCCACCAAAGTCTGAACTTACTGCAGAGTTCTGGTCATCTGTCACGATCTCCCGCCCTGTTTGCTCTCAGTCTAGCTTTTAGACTAATGAGAGGATTTGTGGAGTGAGCCTTTGACTTTCAGGATTCAGTAATTTAATTTTGTTGAATCACCTGACAACTCCACTCAGAATTATATAAATAATTAAAGGGGCTGTGCTGTATACATAATTGTTGTGGTTTAATTTCATCCGGAAGCTTAATGTTAGGATATCTTGCACTACCCCTCTCCCAGTGTTATCTCTTTTTACTGTTAGGTATAATATAGAATTGAACATGTCTAAAAAGTAAGAATGAATGTAGTTTAAGTATTCAGACATGCAAAATATAGTTTCTGCCAAAAATATTGGCTTCAGAAAACTGTATTTTAAAGTATTTCATAGATGTTTTTAACATCAGTTATTCAGATTTAACTTTATTAACTCGACTTCCATTGAATACAAATTTACAAGACCTTCAGATAGAATATTGGACATTCGTAAAATCATGTTGTACGTCCATACTGTAAAGCAGAAACAATATCACATTTTCCAAAACTTTTTTGGAAACTAAAACGATCCAAGGATTGAACCTTGAGGGACACCACATGTAATCAACTGAGCTAAAATAACCCATTCAGACAATTTCCTGTTAATGTCAAGTTTTTTGCCTCATGTCAAACAGAACTGACACGTATTACTTCCTCTCTGTCATCTGTCTATTAAGCTGTTGATATCTGTTATTTCCTGATTTATTGTGTTTGGTCTGTATCAAAAATGTGAAAAAAAGGTCGATCAGTGTTTTGTAAACATCAGGATGGTATTCTCAAATGTCTCGTTTTTTTAACAACCCAGAGATTCAGTTTACTGTCATAGAGAAGTAAAGAAACCAGGAAATATTCACATTTTTAGAAACTTGAATCATAGAATTAGCTTTTCTTTCAATTTTACTCAATCCAATTACTCTTGACTTAACTTGAATTAACTTTTTGATTAATTATCCCGTCCAAAAAAAACGGGTGATTTATTTATCAGTGAAACGTATTGTTTAAACAATCAATGTCAGAGTTTTTGTTGTCTGCTTTCAAGTGCAATTTAATTTCGGTCCAACTTATGGAACCCTTACTGAAGTCTGTCAACTACCTTTTTCCTTTGAGAAAACTGAGCTTGGCAGTTGAGTGTCACATGAACTCTCAGATCACTTTGTTATGTGATCTTGCCAAGGTTTGGTAACAGGTAATAGAACCCAAATGCAGACAATCAGCAAATGGCTATTAGGGGTAAAAGGCAGTTTACTTGGTTATTGGCTTGCTGGAGCACTGTCTGTCAAAAAAGAGAGCAGTTATTCGTCATCAATCAAAGACTTTGTTTTTTTTGTAAAGGACAATTTCTTTTTTTTTAAACATCTGTTAAACAGCAAAGCACTAAGGGGGCAGTTCACATAGACAGTTAGGTATGACCATGAACTGTTTTTACAACAGAGGTTTTTAGCTTCTACTTTGGGACATAAAACATTGTACATTTTCTGTTTTTCCCCCTTTATCTCAGTCAATGATCAGATCTGTTGTTCAGCCATGGGACACACCAACTCTTTATTGACCTCAAGCCGATGCCGTAATTTACCTAATCAATGATGGTAGACAAAGATTCAAAACAAATTTGTGCAGCACTGGAGGTTTTTAGGTGAAAGATTTAAAACCACATTGGGTCTAGAAAACAAACACAGGACCCACATGATAAACCCTGGACTTGTCAAGTCAGAGGCAGGAGGGGAGAGCATGCAGACATCACAATGGCATCATTCATTTTTGATAGTCTCAGCTTGATGGCACACTCAAACGGTCATGCTTGCTCTGTAAACAACAAACCAGTCTTTGAAAATGAGACATCTGCCTGCTGGAGAGGCATAACGCTGCAGGCTCAAGTGGCCTGCTGAGGAGATTCAAGCTGTTATTCTGTTGTGACATTTTAGCTTGATATAATGTGAATGAAAATATGTATGACACATATGCATCATTTCAAGTTTATATCTGTTTGAATGTGTGGCTGTGATGCCTCAGAAAGGCCATGTCTTACATTTTATAATCTATCTGTTGACTTTCCTTTTGTGGGATATGAAAGATAAACACCAGGCTTTTAAGTATGCTTCAAGCACAATAAACCCATCGTCTATTGGCTAGATGTCTTTAAGTTGGCATTTCTTTAATGTCAAGGGCTATGGTGAGTGGTGATTGGCCGCTTTATGCCCTTTATATACGTACATTACTTTCATCTTGTATGGTTATGCATTCTGAAAATGCTTTTGAAAGTTTGAAAGTTCTTCCTTTTTTACGTAGGTGCTTTCTGTTGGTAGTTTTTGAACTTCTGTTTGATGTAAAAAACAAATCAAAAAGTGCTTAACCCATAAGTTTTTACTTATTCATTTGCTTACTTAGTCTGAAAACTTTTAAAGATCCATCAAGAAGCCATTGTACGATAGAGGGACTTGGAACTGATAGGTGCGTTACTAAAACTAGATCACATTTCATTGTCTAATCAAGCAAAGTGCAATACCATCCAACTAAGTGATTGATGTCATCACCTGCGTGAGGCAGCACGTGAATAACTAGCTGGTTAAACTTTATTAATATTTTATAAAAATCCTTCAAAGCCAGTCAAATGTTGTGTGTAAGCTGTAATGCAGCCGCCTGCCACTAGCTAGGGCTGTAGCTCTGGATAATGGCTTCTTACAAAAATACTTTACTAAGCTAACAAGCACAGTTGACAGATAGCAGTATCTTGTAGTGCCGCAGTATTTTGATCTAGAAAATGGAGGTAAGGTTATGTAGGATGTTTCTTGTTGAACTGGCATTCAGCATAGTCATGAGGAAGTTAACCTGCAAGGAGGACAGAAAGCTGGCAATGTTAGCTCTACAAGAGTTAGCCACACTCTGCAAACCAGTTTGACATTTTTTAACACATCAACACTGTGCACCAGTGATTAGTCGTGTTGAATAAATTGTGCTAAATTTAGACTTTCTGAATGTTTTCTTACCTTTAGAGTAGTAGTCTGAATTTAGAGTTGGGTTTAATCGATACAGGAATTAGTCGCTTAAACATCCCTTGTCTCATCTGGTCCCTCACCTGTTGGTTTCAAATTTAATCTAATCTGCAAATTTGATTGAAGAGCAGATTTTTACTCTGGATGTAACCTAACAGAGAGCACTTTGGCATGGCGCCTGGCTGAGTCAGGTTTTAGTTCAGGGAACATTGAAAACTTCCACCTGTCTCATCAACACTCTTGTTTGTTGGCAGTAGCCGGGGCCTGTTGACTCCACTGTTTGCAATGACAAACATGGGCACTCTGTGCATTTGCCTAATTAGTTAGCAGCTGTAGTGAGAGGGATAATTGATTGCAGGGCGGTATGGTTGATTTACAACTCAACCAAGCTAATAATTTGTTATTGATTGAAGCATTAGCGAAGAAAAAAACACTATAGAGAGATGTAACCCAGCCAAAGAGCTGCAGAAAGTCTCACTTTTTAATCTACTTAAATTATATTACACTTCGCTAAGCTAACATCATAAGGAGTGCAGAGCGGGAGATGATGAACTGCAGATTTCGGCTCAGCACTGAAGTCTCATATGTTATGAGTGGAGGAGATTACATTTACTCTGGAAGCATGAGAGTGTCTGTGTCTCCTTGTCTACTGGCAAGCCCTGCTTACATAATTGAATATGGAGATCAGAGATGTTATTAATGTGTTTATGTGCATCACAAATCTGCAATAAAACTGGCGTTGGAGTGGACAGGAATCACAGTAAATAGTAGCAAAGGTCTGTATGATGCACAAATCTTAAGTGAGTTCATTTCTGCTTCATTAACTCGTGGAAACTTCTGCCTCATTGACCAGTCCACTACTGCCTTTCATTTTCCAATTTAACACAGCCATTAAATTAACTCCCAGAGTTTAATTGCACGTTTGAAGTGATTATCTCGAGGTCATGGGTTAGGTATTTGTTTTTAGATGGCTCATTGCTGAAGTTAAAGAGTTTCCAGGGCACTTCACAATCTCTTTATTCCTCTTTTTTTAGGGTGTTTTAGTTTACTCAGCTTTCTATTTCATCTTCCTGCCACCCTCTTGTTACCTAACATCCTTGCTTTCATCCCACATTTATGTCCTTTTTACTTGTGTCTTCTTTTTTTTTTTTTTTTTTACATTCGTATTATTTTTCATTCGGCTCCTCTGTGCTGGATTCCAGAGCCGGAAGCCCCCTCAGGAATTGAAAGTTGGAGAGGAGAAATGATTCTGAAGTGACTCACAGAGAGCGTCTTCTCTTTGAAGCTAGGTGTGAAAATGTTACATTGAGGTGCTGAAGTTTTGCCTCTTCTCTCCAGCAGCTGTATCCCAGAGGCCCACATCGGCAGCTAGAGGAGAGGTCGTCACCATGACAGCGTCCTCGCAGGACTCCAGACCCTCGTCTATGGCCGGCCTCTTCCTCCTTCTCTTCTTCTTTTTCCCGAGTGTCGTCACGCAGAACTCTGCTGTACCCACGACCCCCACTACGTCGTTGTTCGACCCCCTGGCTCAACCAGAGTGCACGAAGAAAGAACATCCAAAGGTTTCCATACAAGGTCAGACATCATCTACAGTTGAACTTTTTTTAAACAAACACGTTATCATGCTTTTTTCTGCATTTACATACAGCTTGCCAGTGAATCAGATTAATCTCTTATCCTCTTTAATGTTGGGCCATGGGGGCTTATTTTCACATTTAGATTTATTTAACTTGACTTGCCATAAAGTAAGAGGACATGCTCTGTTGTCAGAGCACAGTTCTTCCTCACAGCTATATGTGTAAGTAAAAGGTCAACTGTTCCGCTGTTTATATTGATTTCTTTGGAAGCTCCTCTTCTTTCATTTAGAGTCAGTTTAAGTCAGAATTAATTAAATTGACACAGGGACCCACTGCTCTAAGTAATGATGTCGATTTCATCCTGTTGCACTGCTGCCACCACAGTCTGTCATGCACACGCACACTGGTTAGATTTTTAACAGGGTTAAGAGGACACACGGCAGGAAATCAGGGTCTCATGTATAATGTTATGGGTTTTGTTACAAATTTGGTCTTAAATGATGTTAGATTTCCCTGCCTCACAGATACATCAGTGCAAAGAGGTCAGACTAGATAAGAAACAAATCGGATAAAGCCCTTTGTAGGAGAAAACACTGCCATAGTGTAAAATAAATACCCTTGAATTTCTGTTGCAGCATCGTCTTCTATCAACTTTTAACCTGCTTTATGAGGTCGTGTGCACACAACATACAACCACATAAAACACAGTTTTATTTAATTAAGGATAATGATGACATTCCAGGTTGGGTCAATTTCAGTTTACCTCTGAATTAGGGGTTAAGACTTTATGGTTTGACTTTAACTGTGTATTTTTACAGCATAATTAAACATTTTTCTGCCTGGTTCAAAAAACTGTTTTGGTGCAACTAGCTAATTTCTGTATTGGTGCATACTGTAGGGGGATGATGTTTTGTTTTTGCATACATTTGCATAATAAGGGGTGCGGCTGACAGGTGGGCGCTCTGTAGCTGTTCGCCAGGAGGCTGAAGGCCCACTTTAGCTTCATCTCTTTGTCCGTTAATTAATTGTTCAAAAGTTGGTTGGAGATAATGACCACCATCATTCAGCTTAAATGGGGCTGCTTTGGCTCAGTTAGTAGAGTTGGTCGTCTCTCAATCCCTCTTGTTGAGAGATGACCAAGATGACCAGCTAGGGTTCGATCCCCGGCTCCTCCCGCAACATGTTTGATGTGTCCTTGGGCAAGACATTTAACTCAAGTTGCTCCTGCTGCTTCGTCAGTGGTGTATTAATGTGTATGAATGGGATTAGTTACTCCTAATGGTCACTTTATATAGCAACCTCTACCATCAACGTGTGAATGTGTAGATGGGTAGGTGTGATCCCTGGTGTAAAAGCTCTTTGAGTAGTCATAATTCCAGAAAATGCTATGCAGGCTCATGTTCATTTACCAAAATCTCCTCTTCAGGATCAAAGGGATGATGTCACATAGAAATACATCCAGGTTTTTTACAGGCTATAGTTAATAGATCAAATCTATGATTTAATCAAGTACAGTGTTATCTAATGGAAAATAATGAAGTACTGCATCTTGAAAGTAACAACTAAGGTTTAAACCACATTCTTGGTACCCATGATATTTTATCAAAATGGTCTTTAAATTTCTGAACAGTCCGACTATTCTATCGTTAATGTTTGATTCTGGTGTCAGGCTTTGGATGCTTATGAAATGAAATGAACTCTTGCTCAAATAAGATCAGAGGAGGTTTTCTCCATCAAAAGTATTGTGTACGATCTCAGATGAAGGCCGAGTGGAATGCAACTTTACTACACTTCACATTTCAAACTCTGAAGCACAGACATTTTTGCAACAAGATTTTTTTTGACGTTGTAGTTCATCAGTATTTGTCATGGAAGCAGAATGTATTTGCTTCATTTCAAATAAGTGACACATGAAAAGAAAACATCCTGCGCACTGCTTTTGCTCGGTATCACCAGTTTATTAGAAAAAATCGAATCGCTTCGGTCTCTCTGATCCTTACGAGACAAAGGTTCAGAGGGACCGAAACCTTGTGATTTCTTTCTAATAAATCGATGATACTTAACCAGAGTAGTGAGCAGGATTTTTTTCTTTTCAAGTGATAGTTTGTCGTCCTACGCACCTATTTTGTGAGATAGTTGGAGGTGTGAACACCTCCTTAAAAATAAGTGACGCACAGAAATGTCTGAAGAAGTGAGATTGGGATCTGTCCTTAACCCTGATTGCTGCTTTGTGTGGTTTAAACATCTTTTTAATCACCTCTTCATACGGGCGAGGAAACAGTTTGTGCTGCTTTATGAGCTAACAAACGAGGTTCAATGCAGCAAATCATTGCTTTCATGTATCTTTAAGGAGGGGGCAGTTTTCTGTATATACACCCCCCAGAGACTTTAAAACCGTTAGATACGATGCATCACGCTTCTATACTCGTTTTCTATGTATGGAAGAATGCAGTATACATGTCCAAATAAAATAAAGTGGATTCATAAAACTATCCCTGCGCCGGCTGCAATAAAACCCCACAGCTTGGCATTGAGGCCGGTCAGCATGCAGCTATAAAAGAACAACAGCAAGCAAGAGGGGACAAGATAGAAATGATTGTGTGGGATAATGGTGCTCTCTATCAGGCCCGTTCGTCTGTACAGTGGGCCGAGAAACAAGGTCTTCCTCACAGTGTGAAATGGAACAGAACAGTTTTGGGGCTCCGAACGGCAGACAGATATGGCAGAATGAAAGGTAAACACGCACAAAATTGCTGTGTTTATTCTTGAATGGGGTTGTTTGTGTTCCCTCTGCCGAGAGCGGTGACTGAGATTGGAGGAGCCAAAATCGCTGGTGGGGATCGGGGACAGAAACACAAAAATTGAAGAGGTTGCCACAAGGTTTTCTTGTGATTAGAAGTATTCTCTGCCTCCTCCAAGCCATATTGCAGTCATTTCCTCAAGTCTTTGTTTCTTTTCTCTTGATTTTTAACTGCAGCATCCACGTCCCCCTCTGTGCTTGAGGTCCAAAACAACCATGTTGCAGGACTTCAGTCTGGCTAAAAGCGTCACATAAAGCTCTGTGTCATTTTGTCCTTCACACTGGACTCTGTGTAAAGGAGTTTTACGTTCTTTCTAACGGATCTTCAACCTATAGAAATGGTGTAATCGCTTTTTTTCATTTCTGCATAAAAAACTGAGGGGAGGGTCACCTATATGGCGAGTCTTTAAGCCTCTGTCCTGTTGCACCCGCCCGGCCTCCAGATGTCCAGATTAGCCCGAGCTCCATCGCTGCTTCACTTCAAAGGCGAGCCTCTTGAGAGTGGCTCTCCTGGCACCGAGCTGCATGGCTGCCGGCCCCGTCAAAGCAGGCAGAGAGGGGCATTATGTGGAGGCAGTCGTATAGAAAAGGCCTGCACAATGAAAGTGTCAGCAAGAACCTGAGATTAGCTTCGGTGATTGATGAGCGTTTTATAGAAGCTTGTTGAGGCGCTACCTAAGTCACCTGGAGGAGAGCAGGGAGCCGGCTAAGAAGATTTTACTTCAAGCATGCAAAGTGTGCACCAAAGTACACATGCATTTAAATATGTGTGTGCCTTTTTAATGACACATTTTCTTTGCATGTGTACGTCTGACTGCCTGTTTAAGTGGAGTTTTTGTGTGGTTGTTTGTGTCTCTGTATGTGATGCAGTGAGATTTAATCCTGGCAGTGAACGTCGGAGCAAAGAGAAAGGATGAGTCATCCTCTGAACCCTCAGTAGGACCCTCAGTAGGACCCTCAACATGAGCTTTCAATCAGCATAAGCACCCAGCTTCTTCCTCTAGCTTTAAGCATGTGGGCTTCGGCACATTTACACTCACCTTTTTTGTCATATGTTCAGACAAAGATACATCTTTCACTGCTACGCAATCTTTTAGAAGTCTGTGTCTTTTCTAGGAGTTTGATTAAATGGTGGAACTTAAATGGCAAACTCCTTTGGATGGATGTTTACAGCTGACGGTTCTGAAGTTTATGACCACCTGTGGGCAGGAGAAAAAGATTGCAAACAGAATATATTGCCATCGTTGCATTTCAAGTTGAAATGTTTGGCTTGTTAGCCAACAGTTGCTCATTTTGACATAGTGTAGGTACAGACCTACATAATCTCTAACTGATATATATTGTTAGTCCATTATTCATGTAGCTCTGTTCTTGGTCTCTAACTCCTGTGGAAACTGTCTGGCTTTTTAATGCTTCACTTATCACCACTGTGGTATTTGGTGGTGGGCAGGTGTTTGCATTTTTTTTCTTCTTTTTGCCCTAAATAGCTTCCTGTATCAGCTGAAAATTAGTACATTGACTTTTTAAAGGGGCAGCTGCAGAATCAGGAGGATTTTATGTGGTTTCATTATTACATGTAATCTCTTTTACCAGTATCACACTATCATTTTTACATTGAGGGCAGCAGTTGCTCAGTCCGTAGGGACTTGGGTTGGGAATCGGAGGGTCTATAACTTTAAATATGGATTTCATTATCTTTCAGTAACCTTAACTAACACAAATCAGTTTGGATTAAAATAGGTCACAACCAGGATTTCCCCCATCCAATAGTTTCCAACATTAGATAAATTCTGTGTAAAGACCTGACAGGGTGTAAATACTGAAGTGGAAAGCAGAGATCGGTTTCATAAACAGATCAAACCTCCTCCATGTTGAGCCTAAAACCTCTCCATCAGCTTTACTTTGGCCTTGACAGCATAACCTTTTTTTCCCAATCTTCCTGAACACACTGTAAACACTGCAGACTGTATGTTTGTATGTTCTGCTGTCAGCCACACCACCGATGCAGAGCAGGAAAACAACATCTGAGTCACGTAACCTCCTCCTACAGGCACACACTGTACGAGCAGCCAGAACATGATTTAGACGGATGATACTGGCTCCCAGCATTCAGACTGTGGGTCCGATAACAGCCTGACATGAGGGCAGCGAGTGGAACTCTCTGAATCTAGATATGGAGCCTTTTATTTTGGAATTTA